GAACATAAGTTTGCTATAAGTATTATATAAAAATTCTAGTACCATTTTGCTCCCGAAAAGCGATATTCGAAAAATTTGTAATTTTATAAGTATTAAATATAAAATCTGATACCATTATACATCAAACAAAATGATTCATACATGTAACAGATGTGGAAAAGAATTTCCAAAATTAGCCAAACTTCGTATTCATCTTAATCGAAAATATCCATGCCGTCCTCAAAACCCAATACCACTACCTGAACCAATCCTGGAAGCAGAAAACAATGAGAAACCTGATGAAATTTGGTCGGAATTAGGTGGTAATTTATTGGCAGACAAGGCAAAAAGTAAAAAATTTCGATCACTACATCGCGATCATGGTATTGCTAGTATTTATGTCAAGCCACCCAAAGGAAATTTAATTTTCGAAGAATGCGAGATTAATGATCCTGAAAGGCCTCAATCAATGAGTAAATGGCAAGCGATTGTCCCATCATTTGAAAACCCGGCATATGAATTTAATATTCCCATAAAAGACGGACAAAAATATGCGGAAACTCCATACATGCCACAGCTCATGGCATCAGCCAAGGATCAAATCACAAGAGTTCTCAAGGCAGAACTTCGAAAAAAAGATCAGATAAAATCAGCAATAGTAGTATATTGTAATTACATGCGAAAAGATAAGAAGGATACAGACAAGTTGCCAATTACTAATTATTTACAAGAATACCACAGAGGAAGAATGCGAGTAATTCTTTCAGAACAGGATATAGATGAACACATTTCTCTTACAGCAGGAGAAGTGGATAAAAAAATTGAGGAATTTTTAAAAAGTGGATCAGGTTGGACACTTATCCGAATAGAAATGATGTTTATTGAGGCTTATACATTACGACGAGCGGAAGGTGGATCATATAGACCGACACCGAAAAACCTCGCAAATAAAAAATGTACCGTAAATCCCGATAATTCTAAAACAAAAGATGATTTATGTTTAAAATATGCTGTTGGCGCATATTTTGCTAATTATGAGGGAATAACAAAAAATTTACAACGCCTCTCAGTAATCCAACCATATTTAAATAGAGTTAATTTGGATGGAATTCCAATGCCAACTCCGATTTGCAATCGTACATTTCAAAAAATCGAAGCGCAAAATCCCAATATCTCCATCAATGTATGGGAATGGAAGAACGAGACCGCAACTCCCAAACCGGTAATTGCAAGTAAAAATTTCTATATTCCAAATTCCTGTACAATTGATGGTTGTATCCATTCTAACCCAAATGAATGCCACAAAAAAAGACCGCATGTTATCCACCTAATGGCGCTTAGTGATACAACGAAGACGGATGGCAAGTACGGGATAAAAAACCATTTTCTTTGGATTAAAAATCCGGATGCGCTAGTATTCAAAGATAGTAAACACGAGCACAAAAAACATCTCTGCAATCGATGTTTCCAAAGCTGGTCATCGGAAAAATCATTATCACAACATCAAAAGTGGTGTTTCGGATTAGGAGAAGCCCCACAAAAAGTTACGATGCCAGAAAAGGGTATAAATGACATCGAAAAATTTAAAAATTATGCTAGAATGATTTACGCTCCATGTGTCATAATCGCAGATTTTGAGTCGGATAATAAGAAGTGCGATGAGTCATACGGAGGAAATATGCATAAGTTTGCGGAACAAAAGGCTAACAGTTTTTGTTACGCTGTCCATTGGATAGATACTGGCGAAACATGGGGGCCTTTTATATATCGAGGACCGAATGCTACACAGGAATTTGTCAAAAGAATCGACAATGAATTGGTCCAAATTAATAATGTATTATCCATCAAGACCGAACGTATAGTAACCGCTGAATATCGAAAAAAATTCGATAATGCAGATGAATGTTGGATCTGCCATAAAGAATTAAATGGTGATAAAGTCTGGGATCACTGCCATATTACCGGTAAATTCCGAGGGGCGGCACATAACGATTGTAATTTAAAACTTCAGATAACGCCATGGAAAACCCCAATACCAATATTATTCCATAATTTCCGAGGTTACGATTCTCATCTAATCTGCGAATCAGTAGGACGTTCAGTTAATGCGAAACAAATCAATGTTATTGCGGAAACGTTTGAGCGGTATAAATCAATGAGAGTAGGTCAATTGCGATATATCGATAGCATGCAGTTTATGAACACGTCCTTGGCCAAACTCGCTGAAAATTTAGGAGCAGTAAAATGTAAGGACTCAAACTGCAAACATTTTCATAGAATAGATAATAATCGATGTTTTGGTACACTTGAAAATCATAGAATTACATGTCAAATTTACAAAAAGTTATCTCCAGAACAGATTGCGCTGGTATGTCGCAAGGGCGTATATCCGTATGAGTATATTGATTCGCATGATAGATTTAGTGAAACCAAACTTCCGCCATTCCATGAATTCCATGGCAAGCTTAAGGGTAAAATCAGCCAGGAAGATTACGATTATGCGCAAAAAGTTTGGAACAAATTCGAGTGCAAAAATTTAGGTGAGTATCATGACTTATACCTTAAAACTGACGTACTTGTACTTACAGACATCTGGACTAAATTCCGGGAGACGTCAATGAAATATTATAAACTCGATCCAAGTCATTATGTATCAGCCCCTGCCTTATCATGGGACGCAATGTTAAAAATGACCGGAGTAGAGATCGAATTGTTTACTGAGATGGCAATGCATGATTTTACTGAAAAAGCCAAACGCGGTGGAATAGCAATGGCATGTCATCGATACTTTAAGGCAAACAACCCAAAAATGGGAAAAGATTTCGATCCAACTCAACCTACAACTTGGATATCATACGTCGACGCGAACAATTTATATGGGTGGGCAATGAGTCAATTTCTGCCCATAGGGGATTATAAGTGGGTCGTGAGTAAAGAATATTTATCAAAACACCCAGCCATGCAGAAGAAATACCTCAACATGATTCTCAAAACTAAGGCAGATTCGCCGCGAGGATATTTCTTAAATATTAAGGCGCATTTTCCGAAAAATACTCACGATTATCTCAACGATTTACCTCCAGCCGTTGACAATATTGTGGTAAAGCGTGATTGGCTCAGTCCATATAATAAGAAGCTCGTACATGAATTGGATGGAGATCAATTTTCGGAAACAAAAAAGTTAGTCCCTCATCTTGGCAAGCGGGAAGATTACGTAATTCATTACCAAGAATTGCAATATTATGTAAAATTGGGAATGGTTGTGGATGAAGTCACAGAAATATTATCGTTTAAACAAACGAATTGGTTAGCGCCTTACATAGATTTTAACACCAAATTGCGTCAAAAATCTGTGAATGATTTCGAAAAGGACTTCTTTAAACTCATGAATAATTCGTGTTATGGTAAGACAATGGAAAATGTGCGAAAATATCAGGATGTTAAAATTATGTCTTTGAATGGAGATGATGATGAGAAGAAATTCCGAAAGAAAATCCGCAAACCATCATTTAAATATGCCAGACAGTTTTCGGATACTCTTATTGGCGCTCACATGGGTAAGGCTAGCGTAGTTCTTAATAAACCAATTATTGTCGGTGCGTCTGTTTTAGGTCTCAGTAAACTCCATATGTATAGATTCTGGTATGATTATGTAAAGGATAAATATGGTAATAAGGCCAAGCTTGGATATATGGATACTGATTCGTTTATATTCCAAACAGAAACCGAGGATATCTACAAGGATATGGCAGAAAGACCTGATATCTTCGATCTTAATGATACGAAAACGATTGGCCTTTTCAAAGACGAGTGTTCAGGTAAAGTAATTACGGAATCATTTAATATCCGAGCCAAAACATATCACTATGTTATATCAGATGGCTCCATCAGATCGAAGCATAAGGGTGTTAGCAAAGCCGGGATGAGAGAAATGGCTTTAGATACATATATGCCGGCATTAGCAAAATCATTATTTGATAATCCGATAGACGAAGCTGAAGTATTCGATCCTATGACTCAAGTATATCGTGATTGCTTATTTGATAATGAAGTATTCTACGCAAAAAATATAGGCTTTCGAACAAAAGATCATATTATATCACTCGTAGAATCGGAGAAGAAAGCCTTATGTCCTATCGATACGAAGAGGTGGATACTTTCTGACAGAATTACGTCTCTAGCATATGATCATTGGAGGATTGATACATATGAAAGTATGATCAAAGCTGGTATAACTCCAGAGTTGGCTGAAGGAAGAGCTATGAGAGTAAAGCTTAAACCTGAGATTGAATCTTTAATCGAAGAACATATAGCATAAGGGCGGAGTCCCATTGCTCAGCAGCTCCCGTAGACATATACGAACTACTTACTATAAACAAATATATTTTTAAATGCGAAATATCTACTTCAGAGAAAAATGATCCTATCACCTGAACAAAAAAATAGTTCAACCTCGAAGGGACATATATAATGTAACACAAAAAATCGAAAATCCTAAATTAGATGTTACATCCGATGTGTTACACACCAATTGCTAATAATGCGTAATATTAGCATCCAGATAACGACATACTTCTTCATAATTAAAGATCGCTTTGGTCTCACCAATCCTGTTTACGACTATTATTAACCCCCTATCAATAATATGATCGTATTTGACATTATTACAAAACAGTAAGTACTGCTTCGGGTTTTCAGTAAATTTACCCTGCATACAACGTCGACTGTTTTTCGATTTG